CTTCGAGGTGAGCGGGGACGCGGGGGACACCCCGGGGTCACCGCCCTGTCCCCGGCCCCCCCGTGTCCCCATCCCCAGCACCTTGGTGCCCCTGTCCCCATCCTCATCCTCGAATCCCCGGTGTCCTTGTCTCCAGCACCATGGTGTCCCCATCCTTGACACCCTGCTGTCCCCATCCCTGTCCCCAACACTCCGGTGCCCCTGTCCCCATCCCTAACACCCTGGTGTCCCCATCTCCATCGCCATCCCTGACACTCCAATGTCCCTGTCCCCATCCCCAACACCCTGGTGTCGCTGTCTCTGTCCTCATCCTTGTCCCCATCCCCAACACCCCAGTGTCCCCATCCCTCTCCACAGCACCTTCGTGTCCCTGTCCCCATCCCCAACACCCTGGTGTCCCCATGCCTGACACCCTGGTGTCCCTGTGCCCATCCCTGACACCCTGGTGTCCCCATCCCCAACCCCCTGGTGTCCCCATGCCCAACACCCTGGTGTCCCCGTCTCTGTCCTCATCCTTGTCCCCATCTCCAATGCCCCAGTGTCCCCATCCCTCTCCACAGCACCTTCATGTCCCTGTCCCCATCCGCAACACCCCGGTGTCCCCATCCACAATGCGCCAGTGTCCCCGTCCCTCTCTGCAGCACCTTGGTGTCCCTGTCCCCATGCCTGACACCCTGGTGTCCCCACCCCTGACACCCTGGTGTCCCCATCTCTATCCTCATCCTTGTTCCCGTCCCCATTCCCAACACGCCAGTGTCCCCATCCCTGTCCCCAACACCCTGGTGTCCCCATCTTCATCACCACCCCTGACACCCCGATGTCCCTGTCTCCATCCCCAGGACCCTGCTGTCCCTGTCCCCATCCCCAATACTCTGGTGTCCCCAGCTCTGTCCTGATCCTTGTCCCTATCGCTGTCCTGGTGCTTGTCCCTATCCCCAGCACCCTGGTGTCCCCATCCCTGACACCCGGATGTCCCTGTCCTCATCGCTGACGCCCCAGTGTTTCCATCCCTGACACCCTGGTGTCCCCATCCCCGACACCCTGGTGTCCCCGTCCCCATCACTCACACCCCAGTATTTCCATCCCTGACACCCCAGTGTCCCCATCCCTGACACCCCGGTGTCCCCATCCCCGTCCCGCTGCTCCCCGCAGGTGCTGGAGAAGGTCTCTGCCTACATGAAGTCGGGGCGCTTCATGAAGACCCCCATTTTCTGGCGCAC